TAGTGGGAATCAGCACTCTTGTCTGCACACGGACTATGGTAAACAGGTGTTTTCATCTGCATATTTTGGATTTTAAAATATAAAGTTCAAAAGAGAAAAAAAATATTCAAATAAGTAGCCTCATTTAATTTAAAAAAAGTTTAGGAAGATGCTTAAAAACTGTCCATGCACAAGCCCAGATGCACTGCTAGGTGATGTGTATACAACTGGAATTAATGGAACTGTGATTTCAAAATTAGGTTCAGTGTGTTGAATGCTGCCTTACTTCTCTCCTTGTCTGGGCCTCCACCCTGCCTTAGAGAGTAAAACATTTCAGCCATCCTACAGAGTCACAGGCAGACAAATATTTTGAGAGAGAAGCACATTTCCAGTACAATTTGCCTTGGAGCCTAAGGTTCTTACGGCAAATTCTGCACACTCAAATCTTGAAGAAAACAAAAAGAGGCAAGCAGCTGGATTTCCATCAATTACATTTTTGAAATGAGAGTGACAGGAAAGTAACTCAGGCACAACACTGCAAACTTTCACAAAGAGAACTACAATATTTGGGACCCAGGCAGCAAGGAAGTCACCAGCTACCTGTAATCTTAAATGTATTTAATTATCTATATTTATTTTATATTTCAATATATATTCAAAATCAGGACAGCTGACATCCCATAAAACACAGAGCTGGGAAAGCTCAGTGTGTGTGCTCACCCCTGAGCAGCAAGGATGCTAGACAGGTGCTCCATACTGTGATGATGGGAGAGGTGAGCTGGGAAGTGGGGATTTAACACACTGCTGGAAACCTCTCTTTTCAAGCACAAAGGGGATGATGTGCTCTATCTCCCAAAGGCTTGCCCACAGAAATAGATCCTAAACCATAATCTCAAAGTGGCTGTGAGCTTTCGTGCAAAGGAAGATTCAAAGATGCTCTATCACCTAAACAAGATTTGTATAGTAAGACAATCTTATTTATGCAGTACACTGGTTTCAGTGTTACTATTTCCCCCCTCTCTTTCTTCCTTTGTTAAAAACGTAAGTTTTTCTGTGTTTCAAAAGAGAAGCGCTCTATTTTCTGTCTTGATGTTTTTCAAAACAAATTCAATACTGCTCTTTCAGTTGGCTGGAGACAGTGTGGGATTATTAAAGAAAGGAAGAATCACAAAAAACCCTCTTGATTGATCAACTCAGACTGACAGGGTGTAATTACAGACACATCGTAGACACATAAGGCATAATCTTAAAATTAACTTCAGAATTTAACTTGTCCTACACTTGCATTTCAGTGGGATTTTAAAAAAATCCCTTTTATTTATATGCAGTCACACTTAGAGTATGAAAGACTATTTCTTTTAAAGCTTGGTGCCTGCTTGCAGCTGTAAATTGTTCTTGTACACAAAATCTTTTTGTTGACATTTAATACCCACACTGCAGTCCTGCAGCAGCTTACAAGGCTGAGGGCACAGAGCTGCCCCTCCCTGGTACCCACAATGTACCCTGTATCCTGTACCTCTGTACCCACAATGTTCCAGTGCCCATCTCCTTCCTCAGTTACAGACAGCCAGCAGCCCCAAGAGCAAGAACACACCATCTATCCCCCACAGCATTCCCTAGTGCATCCATCTTCTCCTTCCCCTCCTTAACACAATACTATCCCCTCTCCCACACTGTCAGCCTCTTTCTAGGCTTGGGTAGGCAAATTACAGACAAAGACTACGGAAAGGTGATGTTCTTGGGAGGGCAGGGGAGGATTCCTCCTACCCTGGTGTGTCACCAGATCTCATCAGTCCCTGCACTTTCCTGGAAAACAACTAACCTGTCTCCAACTACAAGTTTAAGTCTGAAAGATTGGCTCAGATTGTGCAGGATGTGCCTCCACTGGTGCACTCAGTGGTACCAAATCTCTGCTTCCAACAGAGCGGGATAGTGCTTTGGCAGGACCTGCAGGACCTCTAAAAATAGATGGCTACTTTAGAATTTGAGGTAAATGGAGAAATCTCTTCCAGCATAATAAACTATATTTTGAACATATTTTAAAAATATGTTCAACCATGAGCATTTTAACGTAGGTGCTTTACCGTGCTGGGCAGGGTGGACATTCACCAACCCTTCCACAGGTTCTCCAACACCATCAGAGAACAGGTTTGCCCTCTTTAGTTATTGCAGTGGATGTCACAACCAGACACATTTCTTCACTTGTTTCAGTTTCTGTTTCTGGTCTACCACCTTTGCTAACTCTCAAAGGCTACTATTCTTACACCTCTAATTGCATGCAGAGATGTCTTGGGCAATGAAACAAGCATCGGGCTTCTGCTGCCCATATCACTTGCAGAGTTTAATTAAGGGTAGGGAAGAGGTGGTGATGATTTAGGAGCCAAGATCTGGAGCAGAAAAAATAGCAGTGTTGTCTGCTTTAAAATGTGTATAGCCTCTCCTTCTGCAGTCCCATTTCTGAAATTCTTATTTCAACCCCTTGTTACCACTCTGTGTCTGCCACTTCCCACACTGCTCACAGCACTAGCAGTGTATAACACATGGAAAAAAGATTTTCTATTTTATTAAAATTTCTGATATATTTCAGGTCCTGGAATATCTGAATCACTAACTCAGTGTATTATCTTTGTGTCACTGCCACTACTCCTACAACAGCAAGTTTCACTTGGCTTGGCTAGGCATTAAGAATTATTGGGATTTTTTTCCTTCCCCATGCAGAATAAGTTATCTGAGAATGCAGCTCTTATTCTGGGATGAGAGATGGGGAAGGAGGGGTAGGAAAAAATGTTCATGTCACAAAGACAAAACAATGTCAGCTGTGGCTACAGGACATTTCATGAACTAGATGCACTCTGCTCCTAGTAAGTAGTACCTCATAATATCAAAGCAAATCGGAAGCAAATCTTCCTTTCTTCCCCTTATCCCAGAACAGCTTTTGCTCTTGACTTTCCTACTTGTTTTTAGGGCAAGTCACTAACCTTTGCAGCTGCCTTACTAAATTTTAAGAATGGAAGTTCAGGTAGCAGCCGGATTGTGCAACCAGCCTGAAAGGCTAAGGATCTTAGAAGGCAACTTAGAGATTTAGTTCTCACCATCCAAGCTTTCATCTGTAGAAACACATCAGTCTAGATCAGCATCAATCTAGAAGCCACCAATTCAAGCTACAGTATATTTACAGCTAAAACTTTCAAATAAAGCCAATTACAAGTAATGAACAAATCAGCAGTGAAGTGCAGTAGGAGGAAATGCTAGCTCCAAACATTCAAAAAATATGAGATCGTTCTTCAGAATGAATTTGATTTTTTTTCAAATCTTTACAGTCCTCTGAATGCAGGTTCTCCAGATGTTTACCACTATTTAAGGCACTCTTTAGCTTAAGGGGGAAGCTACAAAAGCCTCATGTGGTCAGAGGTGCCAGCTTTTAAAGAAGTCAGCACACAGGTCAGAAAGAACTTGGATAAAGGACATATCAGCTGTCTGAAATCTGTCCTCCCCTCATGAAAAATGCAGGGGAAGGAGACAGTTTCTTCTTTCCACAGATGGGAGCACTCCTTTCCTCCCACTCTTCCCCACAGCTTGTATTGAAAAGTGGTTAGTCATAGCAGGACACAGACACGTTCGTGCCTGGATGATGAAACTCAGATGATAACAAGAACATGTTCTTGTCTACAGTCCAGGAGACAACCACGTGGTTCCCTTGCAAGCCAGATTTTATAATTCCTTTGTGCCAGGGAGAGCAAGTCACTTTTGTTTAGCCTTAGTCAGCATTCAGGGAAATACACCAGTTTTACTTCCCACAGTGAGCAAACTTCTCGATGCTTTTCCTCCAAGTTTCCTTTTTGGCCAGGCTTCTATTTGCTCGCAGGGTAATAAATCACACACACACACACAGACACAGCTGTTGGCCATGACATCTACAGAAAACTAACCAAAATCAGGATCAAGGGCTGTGGACATTGATGAAGCTGATGCAGAAAGTCAATTACTCTGCAGCAGGGGCATGTACCTGGCAAGGAGAAATCCCTCACCCTGAGGTCTGGCCCCTTGAAATATGTGACATTGTAAACATTCATTTGCAATTCAGTGAGTAGTAGCTCATCATCTGAATTTGAGTAAGATACTAATGAACTGCTCTAAATATATTTACTTGTTTGGTTAAGATTCTCCCCTGAAAATGCTGTCCTCACTTTGAGGAGACATGCACAACACAGTGGTAAGAAGTTGAGCGTTGTCTGCATTTGGCAAGACACAGGACACAGGCAGGGTAGGAAAAACCATGGTGAGCCCTTCTGGGGGCATTTACTGACTTTGTGCAGGTCCTCAGGCTCAAATAATGAGGAAACACAGCGATTTCTGAACCTTACCCATTTTTAGTCCAGAAAATTGGGATGCAACTGAGAGCTCATCATAAGGCTGATGTAAAATCAATGCCCCCTTCATCCTGCCCCAGGGCACTGTGAGTGCAGCAGTGCTAGGTGGTGGCACTGTGACACGAGGGTTCTGGGGTCCCTCAAGTGCAGCCCCCCAGGCACCATTCCACCCAGCACCCTTCCAAGGAAGGCCTTCATGGTTCTGGGACAGTCCCTGTGCCCAGGAGGCTCAGGGGCTGTTCCTACCTGAGGCTGCCACACACTGGGCACGGCTGAAAACAGCTGGGAATGGTAGCGAGATGAAATTACTTTTGGGGTTACTCAGATACATAAAGGAAACTACAAAAAACAATCCTCTAGCACACACTTGGAAATTACTTGGCTGCAAAACTGGTGCAATGAGTGCAGAAAGCTGTAGATGTGGCACTTAGGGACATGGATGAGTGGTGGAGGTGGCAGTGTTAGTGTAACTGTTGGACTCTACGATCTTTGATATCTTTTCCAATCTAAATGATTTTATGATTCTATAAAAATCATTCCCATATGCAGCAGACTCATCAATCAGTATCAGGACCTAAACACATTTTCCCCCTCTCAAAGTATGTTATTGTGCTCAACATCTTAATGAGTATGAAACTGGCAACAAGATAGTTACTTTGATCAAGGTGTTTATTGCATCTCAGAGGGCACACATGCACTGGGGTTTTTTGTTTTGTGGGTTTTTGTTTGGGAATTTTTTAACTGAAATACAAAGAAAAGCCATTTTGAAATTAACTTTTTATAGAACTTTCCCATTACAGTGTATGTTATCCCCACAGCAAATTCAGATACAACCACTTTTAATGGTACCATACATTGATTAAATAGTTCATTTGAAAGACTTTAGGTGAATATCTTTCCAACCCAATATGCTTTTACAGAGAACTGCCAAGCCACTTGTAACACTGATCAACAGTGACCTCATTGAAGAGTCAAGATCTTACACCAAGCCATCAGCAGAAACAGTATGAGAACAAATAAAAATTAAAGAAACACAGTATGTACAGTAAAGGGCATGGATCTCTGGATCAGAATTAAATCTAATCACCAATAGTACAAAAGCTACTCACAGCGCATTCGGGGCAATGAGAAAACACTATCCTAAGGCATACACAGGTAAGCACTAAATTAAGAGATGTACGGAAGAACTCAACAGAGATGAGTAACATCACTTGTAATGTTTTGACTACAGATATACCAAAAAGTGCTCTCGTATTTGAAATCCCTTGATGCCAGCACAACTATGGTTGCTTTTTCCCAACTACATGGAGAGAAACTGACCCTTTACTTATTTTCAGTGCATTTAGCAAGAACTGATAAATATGCCAATTACAAATGCAAAAAATTAAACAATTAAAATAGGTTTAAAAATAAAACCAGCAATAAATATGGTATTTTTTCAGATATGATTTTTCATTCTTGGTAAATAATTGGAAAAGTATTTGTTATGGAAATTTTCCTTTATATTACTTTAAATTATTTTAACATATACAGTGCCACAAAAATAAAACATTTTTTTTCACGACAATTGAGATTCCTGTGACTGGAAAAAAAAAGTATTCTGCACAATTTCATAAGTATTTTCTTTACTATCTGGTATTATCACACTATGTTTTGTAACAGATAAAGGAGAAATTGAGTCCTAGGGAAACTTTGGGTGTCCTCAAAAAGTTATATACATTGAAACCTTCAAAAACCACAGACATTGCTCCAAATGGCTCACCAAACAACAGCTGCATAATCTGCCCCTGTGGGATAGGTTCAGAAAAGCACTAGAAGGCATCAGAAACATACATCCATTGTTTAAATTGTAAAACACAAATAACCCAAGTACACAAATTTCGAGAGAGTAGGGATAACAGCTAAGGTAGTACACATTCCTAATGTTCACTTTCACAGCTGTGCTACACGTTTCAGGAGGAAGAGAAAGTCTGAGTAAGCACTGGGTTTGGTACTGGTGGCTCACTGAGAAACTCTGAGCATCCATTTGTAGACTCCAAACTCACGTTTTTAGCATCCAGTCAGAAAAACCGCAGCTGTGGATATAGAAAAGTATTAGATGAAAACTGATAGAATGCATTATTACTAAAGCACTTTCTACAAAGAGCACCAAATCTGCTCATCTCTTCACACCTCAAAGGATTTGCTATCAGATTCTGGTGAAGTAGCAGTCTTCCCACAGCCAGTTATGAATCTCTCTATTATAAATACAAGTTGAAAGCAGTGAGTCCCAGCAGTGAGGGTGTCTCCACTCCTGGCTGTCTCTGCCAAGTGCCAGGTACACCTCCCTGGGGCAGGGATTTGGAGAAGGGTGAAGTGGGACTGGAAGATGCCTGCTAAGAGCAGCCTGAATCACTGCTGCCAGCTCCAGTGCAGAGTGGGCTCAGAACACATTTTAGAATTAAGCTCTAGGAAGGAAGAAAAGTGACTCATGAAGAAGGCTTTAAAGTTATGTAATGATTGTCCTCTCCTCACCTTACTCTAGGCACATTATTCTAGTCCTAATTGCAAAATGCGTACCTTATTTCTGCATTATTATTTTTTAATTGGCTTCAGTGTTTAATTCAATTTTATATTCCTACTTGGCCCTCCAGAACCATCAGAAAAATGTTTTGGCCTTTATTTCCTTCCATGCAGTATTTCTTTTTAGCTTCTCCTCTACTTTTCTTTGCATTTACTCCTCTGCTCTTCCCCATTGCTGCTCTACACAGTGCTGCTCAGGACCCCACAGCCTTAGCATTCAGAAAAGCAGTTCCTTGAAAAATTGCATGGCAGGGGAGAACATCAGCTGGCAGCAGTAAAGAGCTGCAAACAACCTTACCTTGATGACAAGAATACATAAGTTTTTCTCCTTTTGATACATTCATACCTATGATACCAAATGTGTTTCAACACCCACAAGACTGGAACAAACCTCTTTGGCACCATTCCCCCCCCCAGTATTTGTACCTTGTTATCATTCCATGTGTTTAAGTAACAATTTTGAGAAAAAAAAACAAACATGAGTGTTGGACTGAATGGAAACATGGCAAAAATGGAAGTTATACAGTGAAGATACTTTTTTTTTGTTTGTTTTGCCAAAAGCAACTGTCAGGAAAAGTTATCTGTGAGTCAAGATTTCAGGCTAAAGATGAGAGTGTGGACAGAGAATTTGGTTTTCATTACAGTGCATGTTTCTATCTCTGCAGCTGTGATTTTATCTGTCAAATTCAACCTAAACAACATCTGTGTGCCAGACATGTACCGCAGTGTGACATGCTGGAGCAGACAGCCACAGAATACCTTATCGTTTACAAGAAATCCTTGATGTTAAGATCCGCTAATGGGTCCTTTGTTGGAGGTTTCTTGGGGCTCTGAGTAGCAGGAGTTGGGCTTGGAGAAAGCTGACAAGATGCCAGCCAGGAAGGCAGGAAAAAAACAAAGCAGACAAGAATACACAAGCATTAGATAGACATAGGCAGTTCTCACACAAGCACATTGCAAGCATATAAAGTTCTCATTTGTCCGTGAGTTCAGTGTGGTGCCATTTTGCCCAAGCATTGTCTGGATTCCATCCTTACTACAGGGTTAACAATGTTTGGCAGATTTAATGGACAGGGCTATAGACACTGCAGATCCTAATTACCATAGCTTCAGATCACTCCCTCCCTGCAAGACAGAATAAACCCAGACAGAAGACACAATTGTTAGATGTTAAAAACCAAGGTTCAGAGCAAGCAGAGTGCATCCTGCAGAGTACAACTGAAAATCCCTGTGATTGGCAGTTAAGTACAAATAATTTTACATTGAAATAAGGGTCCAAAACAAACTGGAAACATGACTAGGTCATACTAGGTTCCTCCTTTGATAGGTGTAAAAATTGACAGTTACTCCATAGAAAACGTCAGTTTTGACGTTCCCCACATTTCTGACTATGGTGGTCAAATGATTCTCCCATTCCATCCTTATTCCTCCCCATTCCTATAACTCAGGGTACATGAGGTATTTTATATGTAGCCCTGACACCTTGATGACCACTCTTTACGAAAAAATTCTCTGTGTCCCATCATAGTATTCTTGGTAAGTTCAGAGATATTTGGAAGTGGGAAGAAAAGCAAGACTAAGTATATTCTTAGAGCGCTTTCAAGTTCTTTCCATTTCTACACAGAAAACCTTGACAAGGTTCATTGGGAATTTAGTTCCCTACTTTACAAGTGTATTTTGTTATATGTTAATTGCTTAGTATTTGCAAAACAAGGGAGGGAGCGTGGTTTCCAGGGTTACCAGTGAGATTTACAGCTGCAGCATCAACTTCCATCTCTCTCCTTACTTGAAAGGCAAGATGGACTTCTGGCTCACAAAAATCAAAACACTACAGCTAAATAATTTCCTGCCTCTCCTCTGGATATTCTTTTTCAGTGTTATTACAAACCAAACTCTACTTGAAGTAATAGCCTGGGACAGGTGTTACAGCTTATTCTGCATCACCTGCTGAGTGTAGCTATAGTAAATTTTGGTAGGCTGTAAACAGAATAGCAATGCCTGAGAGTTCCACTTGGAGCTTTACTCAAACATCCCCCAAAACCAGATCTTGGATGTAGTTTGCTGTAGGAGACTTTTCAAACCTGTTCCACTGGCCTCATACAAAGCAACTGAAAAAAAAAAATCCAGGTGGTTCATGTGATCTGCTGCAAGGCAGGCAGCTGATCCTTTACAACATCTTATTTACAGACCCAGAGCTAGAGATGAGCTGAGCTAATGCACCCACAGGAGCTGCTTTCTGGAGATGTGGAGAGCAGTTAAACATTCGTGTAGCAGTACAGCTCACCTGTACACCAGGGCCAGTGGCGGCTCCAAACGGGGGCCTCATCATCGGCTGCCCGTACATCACCGGCTGCTGGGGCATCATGGGCACCCCTGCACCTGCTGGGGGCTGCAAACCAACACCGAGTCAGCAGGGGCTGGCTGAGGGAAGGAGAGCAGTGTAGCAAAAGAAACTCACCATCCCAAATGCTGCTCCTGGCTGTGGGACAGGTGGAGTACCTCCTGCGGCAGGAACAGCACTTGCTGGAGGCACAGCTCCCGCCTAAAAAATAAATTAAAAAAAAGCAAAAAAAAAAGCAAAAAAAAAAAAAAGCAAAAATCGAACAGCAACCATCTGGAAACCACACAGAGTTTCCAGCATTCTCAAAGCTGTTCTAGAAAGTGGGACTGTTATGCAGCACATATGCAGCCCCAAAACCACAATGCTTCAAAGAATGAGAGCTGAATGAGTCCTTATGCTCAGTTTTCTCCATGAGAAAGCAATGGTGACAGACTCCATTCTTTCTCTCCATGAACAGAGTCCATTTACTGACTACAACTCAAAATAGGCCCAAGAAAACACAGTTTTCCTCCCCTTTTACGAGTGTAAGAGAGCATCCCAGTTTCATAACAGCTTACACACTGTGGCACTTATTGTATCACTGTATTTTAGTTAAAGCTTAAGTAAATTGTAAAGCTAAAGGAAATAGCTGCTATAACTAGTTTACAGTGAAGAAGAAATAATTATACACCAAGATTCATCGACATTAAAGGCTAAGTTCACACAATTAAACCACATTCAGAACCATTACATACTAGGGACAGTTTAGTTTATTTTGCTATGATTTTCATTCATATGCTTGACTTGTTATGATTTTCATTCAAATAATAAAAGGCAAAGAAAAAGTTTATATTCCACTAGAATTCAGGAAGACAGAACTGTTAATTTTATAGTCTGACTGGATATACAGCACAAGAGCATCCCACAAGGCCATCCCACCTCGCTTATCTAGCGCAGCCTACACATTATCCCTTTTGGCTCCCTTCTCTGTAACTTCCCATGCACAGTCTCCTTACAGACTTGAAGGCATCTAAACCTTTCTTTTTCGCAGATATATATGCAATCCAAATTATTAACAACTCTGAAGAGAGGCAGAAAGCATTCAAGGGAGGGATGTAAAAAAGGCAGTAGGATTTCATTACTGCTCTTGTATGGCCTAAGCATTCAGGCACAATTTCTCAAGATGTTACAGGAGCTGTATGGTCGTGCCTGTGCCTCCACATCCTTACCACCCACCCAGAGTCAGTAACATCCCGCAACACTTGGAGAGCAGCTAGCACACTCACAGTTCAAAGTAGAGTGTGTCTCTGGACACTTCTGTGAATGCTGCATGAGTGCCCTCGGTTGAGCTTTGCTTCCAGACTAAAATATGCCAGTTTCTTAAGAAGCTGGAGACAAGTCAAGATAACCTGTCCCAGATTCGTAAATCAAAACCACTGCATTTTCTGGCTAAGAATTTATGAACTCTGTTCCAGTCTGAAAGATTTCTGGGGAGCATTTCAGTTAAAAACTGTACTGTGCTAACACAGTCCCCCAAACTAAAACCAAGATCTGAACACTCAGGTATGAAAAGCAAGAAATTAAACCACACAGGTCAACGACATTAGATGCAGTGATCTGACTGCTTTTACAAGAACATATTGTAGCTCAACATCCAGCTAGGCAGATGCCAAGAAAATGGCCATACAAACTGAACCTTCTTTTGCCTCTAAGCAGTAGGTCATTGGAGGGAATGGGCTTTGATATGATTCTGCCGATTTTAATCCTGGATTTGAAAGATCAGAAGAAAGGGAAGAAGTGACCAAAACTTAAGTGGGTCAACACTGACATGAAGAAAAGCTTTATTTTTGTCTTCATATTTATTTTGCCTGTAGACCTGGGTTTCTTTGATTTCAAAAAGTAGCTAAGGGCATGAGTTTTAAGAAATATACACAACACATATGTTTCATGAAATGCTATGAAAACTACCCAGATTCCCAGAAAAACTAGTTCCTTATCAGATGGTAAAATCAGTAAAAAATCAGACTGATGCTGCAGAAGCTTGAAGTTTCAGGCAGTACAAGTTATCAGGTAGTTCACATCCAAGTTAAGCAGCAAAGAGATCGTTTTCAAGGTTACAGCACAAAAATGGTTAATCACTACTGCCATACTCAACCCACTGGCTGAGAATTGTCTGCTGGACAGACAGTCCAAGAGGAGCCATGTTAGAAGCTTCTAGCTAATTTTAAGCCAGCAGTAGTAACTGTAGTGCAGATGAGGTGCTGTTAGTATCTTCATGTTTAGTAAGTGCAGTAAGAGATGAAAAGAAAAAAAAAAAAATTCACTTACACTGTACAGTATTGCCCAGCCTTTCTATCAAGAAAAAAATTTGATGTTACAACTAACACATTACTGAAGTACAGAGAATTAGTGTATCTTCCATAATGTTATGGAACATTCTGAGAGTCATGTTAACACCTGGCTGTGGCTGCATGGAACTGAACTGGCCACAGAACCCCTTCAGAATTCTTTCTTTCCTTTGCTAACCCAACCTTGTTCAAATGGAGGCTGTTTGGAACCTTGTGATACATTTGATGAGATGTATAACCCCTCTTCAGATTACTTTTTGTAGATTACTCCTGATCAAGCTGCTCATGTGCCAAGTTTAGATTTTTAGCTCAACTCGACCCTCTTCTCTCAAAATAAATGCTGTCTGATACTATTTACAGGGTAATCTTAACTTTTCCAACTGCTTTACCCTGCTAAATAAGCTACCCACTCCTGATCTAACATCAGTTACCTGATCAGTATGAATACTGCGCAGTCTTTTGATCTACTTCATTCAGTAAATCTTGAGGAAAACCTATTTATTTTCTTTCCTTATAGTTCATCAGCTTTGGATCAATACTGTTTTATTTTGGGCACATGACCTTGGCCTGATCCTGGGCAGACCTATGTGGCTAATCACACACTTAGAAATGCCCACAGGTATTAAATGTACAGGAAGGGAAATTTCTTGACACATACGCCAGTATATTTTTCATTCACTACTCGATGGTTTATTTATACCAGCTGTAAATCTGTTCTTAAAAAATGTGACTTGAAATACTCATATCATTTACACAGAAGCAAACTCTTCAGCCTCAGTAGAGTGGAACAGACCCTAGAGGTATGCTTGCACAGTCTCATCAAATATTGGAAGTCCAATACCAGTGTTATCTATGGATTAACCACCTACCAATGGACCACCTGGGACACCACCAGTTGACCATGTTGCAGGTGCTACTTTTGGCTGCCAGTTCGCTCCTCCTGTTAACTTTTTCTCTCCAGCATTCCACTGAAGGTCTCCCCTAACAGAGAGGGAGAGAGGCAGGCTATTATTTGCATACTTCCACAGTGGAAATGAAAACCAGTTGCAGCATACGTTATTATTAGACGTGCAGCTACATTAGCTTATGGTGTATGCAGTTATTAACAGAAAGATATACTTTTAGTGACACTCAGTTTCAAGGGCTGTTAGCAGTAGACACCAGAACACTCTAAGCTGAAGTCAGTTACATGATTATGGCCTTTGTGGTGAGAATTAAAGAGAAGTTTTACTTAGTATTGACTGAAGGTAAGATATTGCATATACCCTTGCAAAGTAGGAAGAGGGACTGCTACTGCCTATTCTACTGGGGCCAGGCAGGAGAGCTGCCTGCTAGATGTCTCTGAAAGGCCATTTCAGTGCTGGAAATCTTGCTCAGACAGCTGAAGAAGGAAAGCATTCAGTTCTGCAAAAAGTTGATAGATACAAGAGAAACAAATCATTCATAGAATAAAAGAAGGGCTGCTGCAAAACCAGGTTTTGTTAGTGGCTGCTCTACCCAGAATAAAATACACCATTTGAACAAAGTAGATCGAAGGAAACTACATTTTGGGGCTAAACCTCATGATGTGTTTGTACATATCCCTCCTATCGTCTCCACAGAGGCACAAAACATTTTGAAGTCGTGCATACAGAGGAAGACTCAGGGCAGAAGCAAGAAATTAGGTTAGGAGGATGCAAAAATAAATCCAATGCTGTAAGTATTTCTTTTTGCAAAAAGAAGCTTATCGCTGCATGGAATGAATCTCTTTTCTATTTTGGAAGTATTTCAATGCCTACACAATAAGTACATCCAGCATCTGTAAAAATATAACAAAACTATTACATATTAGCATAAATTACTGAGGGGAGCTGCACAAATAAATATTATCTGGACTATTTGTTCATTATAAACTGTTTGGAAATCAGCTATCCAACAGGAAGACAGTAATTTGCAGGGAAAAAAAAAATATTTCTAACACTCAGATGAAAGACAGCAAGTTCATAAACTGTATCAGGAACATTGAACCTTAATTATTCAGGGAGCCTGTACAGAAGAGAATACTTGCTTCAGAATTTTTCTGGACTGGGAGACTGGGGTATAGAACCAATTCATTATCTCTTAATAAACAGTGAAATAGATGTAGTGCTATACAGAAGAGGAGAAAACTTCCTTTTATCTTTAAGCACAGTTGAACTTACTTTTTAGAAGTAGTACCAGAAATTCCAAGATCTGAAAATTGTAAGCAAAAAAAGGAAATAAAAAAGAAGCCATATGTTCAGTAAATTGCAGCATGTCAAAGCAACAGCTTACATTTCATTGCACCTGGGCTTATCAAGAGCAAAGAAGTTTTGGCTGTCTTCGTTTGGACAGCAGAGGACTGGCTACATCTACCTATTCTTTAGAACAAACATCTAAAAACCTTGGAGATGTTTTTTGCACTTGAGAAAGTAATTTTTGCTTCATAAGCAAACCAAAGTAACTGTATTTAAGTCTACAAAATGTTAAGTTATTTAAGAGCACCAAACTATTTACCATGAATGACAACACTAGTTTCTGTTCCTCATTACACATATGGAAATAAAAAGCTGTATTCCACATACACATAAATGTATTGCCTGTAAGTTTTACACTGTTTTATCTGTTCTACCATACATGGAAATTCCAAATAGTTTCCTTAATTACCCTTTGGAAGAAGTCTTAAGTTAAATTTTGAAGAGTACACTTCTCACAGGACCAAAGTAAGTCCTGTAAGTCATAAACTTCTGTTTGATTTTCTCCTCCAAACTTGGATATAGCCGATGACTTGCAGAAGATGTTTGAAGGGATTAAGAGTTTTGCTAACTTCTAAGCACAGTATTTTCCCCCACATCTAACAGCCATGTCTGCATCATATGTATTTGTTGTGGTGTGCTTACATATACAAAGGGAGTATTCCTTTTATACAGCTCTCCAAAATACAGCTTCAGCAGGATTACACCTTAGCCTAGGTGGGCTTCCGTTAGATTTTTTGAGGGGGTTGCAGCTACTCATCTCTAATTACAAAGGCCTTTCCCTACTACAGGAAAGTGCTTACTTTAGTTTTGCATTTCAAGAAGATGTTTGGTAAGTTCTCTGCCTAAGAAAAGCTCTGTTCTTGAGTGCACACATCTCCTCACTGCAACTCTTTCTCTCATTAAACATGCAGTCAGCTATTTTTGTCCACCAGCTTTGCTGCTTAAACTGCCATCAGACACTTTGGACAATTTTCACCTTTCCATCTATTACAGAGGGGCACATCCATTTAGAGTCTGATGTGCCTCTGGCATGTACCTGGGACAGTCACACACTATGAATCATACCTACCAGACAAATGACATTATTTGACTCAAATCCTGGGCTCCAAGAAGGACAAACCCAGACTAAGTGAATCAGCTATCTGAACCAAGCCTTATTCCTGCTGATAGCTTCCCCAGTTTCCACAGCAGAACAGGAGGATACTGAAGCAAGCTTAAACAGACACCTATTTGGCTCCACGGAAAAGCAACACGCATGCCACACCACTTAAAACCAAAATTTGTCACTTACTGCCTACTAAGTTTGCAAGAGATGAATCAAGATCACTTCCAAGGCCTTTGCTTGCTGCTGCAGCAGGGACTGTTGCTGTGGCTGTAGGTGCTACAGGTTGACCAGAAGGAACCATAGTTGGCATAAGAAGATCACCTAAGCCATCAAACACTGGAAGTGAAAGAAAAGTGAGTTAGAACAGCAGCTGTGATCAAAAATGCACTGCCTGCTACTCTGCTGTTGCTCAACAAATACAGCACAGACAACCACATCACAAATCTTACCGAAACACCATTTGACATTAAAAGTAATGCCAACAAGGGCATGCATGTCATTTTACTAGACACTGAATGTACAGTAAATCTCAAAAAGCTTTACCAATGAAAACTAGTACGAGAAGACATGCCTAAAAGGGATTTAATTAGAGAGTTGAATCTACATAGATACAGCACCACTTCCACATGACACTATTTTTCTTACAACCATCCTTACAGAGATGTCAGATACACACACATTTGTCAGGAGATATTCATTTAAAGGTTTTTAAAATGAACATCTTGCTGCAAACACCAGTCAGAGTTACTGGGGCAAAGGCAGTCTTATACCTTGACATCTCACAGCAACAGGATTGGCAGTCTCTATTCACTTGCAAGCAGCGGGGAATTGGGAAAACCTACTAACATCTTAGAAGATCAGAAGGAACCAGAACCATCCACACAGACAGTGCTATTCTCCTTAGTCCAGTCATCTAACTCAGAAGTTCAGTTTTTTAGATCCCTTGAAGTCAAACTGCTTGGTACATCTCATGCCTGAGTTCTATCTTCTGATCTGTATTTCAGGTACATGCTAATGTTAAGTCAACAGGGAGGGATAGCATGTGCACTGGCAAGCAACCAAATAACCAAGCAGCAGTACTATTTCCATCTTTTTTTCTTGTACGGATGTAGAACTCACCAATTTTAAGTTTGTAGCAAGGACCCAGCATGAAAAATATAGAATGGAAGAGATGCAAACAAAATGATAGCAGTGATAAAAGTTTAAGCTTATAGTCAGGCAAAAAACTCTAGGCCAGTTTCTGTTGTGTGTACCCTCAGGTGCCATGCAGGCTCCAGAGCACCATCAGCAGCAGTGGCAAGATGACTTGCCTGTCTACTTGATTTACAGAGTAGTGCTTTCCTTGTGCAATTCCTGATTCATGCTATCAAGCACATGCAAGGATGATGTATACGCTAGTTTGGTTTTTACTGGCATGGTCAAAAATGCCAAAAAAATGGTTACAGAATACCAGTGGGTACAAATACCCAAAAATGGATACAGAAAGTTCTTGGGCACACACCAGCCTTATCACCACCCTGAGTCCTTCCAGTAAGAAAGAAAAAGGAGGTCACTGATATTGCTTGTACTCAGAGCCTTAATATGGTGTCATTAATTCATCTACCACACAGTATCCATGTTGAAAATTAGAAAATTCACAGGATGTAACCCTGTGGCTCACCTGATGCATCAAATGAACTGCCAGTTGTTGGAGCTGTTGTCCCAAAAGCTGCATCAAAGTTAGGCTGTAGTAATCCAGTTTGAGCTGGAGTAACTGGGGATGGTGATGGAGAGGGAGCAATAAAAGAACCCCCAAAGCCTTTAAAAAAAACACATAAGAGAGGTGAGGACATTAGAGTCTGCCCTGTGTTTACCAAAACCTCAATCTGTAGAGGGCAGAATGATAAAGACAATTCTTACTAGACCGTTTTAAAATAAAGAACATTTCAGCAGCCTAGGTGAGCTTGCCTGTGTTTATTAGACTTACTTCAGTAAAATGGAACCAAGAAGCCCTTATAACCCAAATCCTAGCCCACAGCAAGTCTCATGCTCACAGTTGCTAACCCTGAATATGGAAAAATTCACTGGCATCAGAGATCTGCCCTCATCTCTCCACGGTCCGTTCTTGACACTAGCTTGTCATGGAATAATGTAGGTTGGAAGGGATCTCTGGGGGTCAGCCAGCCCCACACCTTGTTTAAAGTCAGTCTAATAAAATCAAGTTGCCCAGAGATTTGCCTTGGCACCTACAAGAGGAGATTTTACTGGCTTTATGGGTGGCCTGTTGTCATATCAGACCATTACAGTATTTAATGAGTTTCACACACACATTGCTGTTTTTCACTATCTTTGTGCACCTCCAAGAAGAGCCTGGCTAGTCTTCTCTGCATACTCCTGTGAGTTTAGATATCTCTAAGGATTCCCTTTGGCCCTCTCAAGGCTGAATGAGCCCAGTTCAGCCTCTCTGCACATGTCATATGCACAAGTCGCCATCACTTTGTCTCTCCATGGAACTCACTCTGGTATGCCTTGATCCACATCAAGAGATTCTCTAATACATTCCAGACTACCCATGCCCAGCTGCATTCCCTATCTCCCTTCCAGCACATACTATGGTGGTTCCAGTTGCCCTAGTGCCAAAGCTTGTGATAGTGATGCTTTCTCCAGCTGCCTAAAAAAGGCTTCCTGCACTCGCCTCTTCTTGAGGAGGTGGTCTGCAGCAGATACCTGCTAAAACATGACTGATGCCAGATCATCAGCTGCCTAGGGCAAAGCTCCATGCATTCAACCACCTGCACAGAAGTACTAATCTCCACAGAACCAGACCAGAAGCAGGTTGACAGATCCAGGGATGACAAAGGTGGTTCACTGCAGCAATCCCTAAAGCACAGGAGCCATCTAAAGAGCCTGTCTCTCCATTTCCTGAGTGAGAACAAGGAGCCTGGCAGAAGGGTGTGATCCAATACCTATTAATAAGATTCTGTTTAGAAAGTTCTGTAACCTTTTGCAAAGCCCCATAAAGTGTCTGTTTTTCCAGCTACAGAAGAGACTGCTCCCCAGCTTCTGGTGAAAATTTGTTTCATGACTGACCTTAATTCCATAGCTTTTAGCCTTGCACAATTTAAGAGGAATACCTGGCAGAGAAGCCATAAAAATTCTTTAACAAACCAAGTTCCTAGTTGTCTAGAGATTTCACAAGATGCCAAGAAAGTCTGCAGAAACAGCGGCAACTGAGTTAGATGTGTTGTCTGGACACTCTCAACTGCTTGATTTTGGGGTTGCTTTTACACAGTCAAATAAGATGCTATTAAAGTACATACCAGGACACATAAGCACACAGTTTAATTGGATAGAAAGATCTAGAAGGGAAAATGGCTAGACTGTTGTATTTATCAGCATAGTTCTAGTTTTGTCTGTTGAAAGGCTTGGAGTAGGAAAACATTTCTTCCAAATTTCCTAGGCAAGCCAAGAGCAGGAACTTATTTGACAGCAGAACACTTAAGACAATTATGAGTAGTAAGTATACTCATAATGTTATGCATATAAACACTTAGTACCACCAAACACTCATAAACCATGAAGGACAAGCCTTCAGCCACCATACAAACTCCAGACACTCTTAAATTTAAAACTGAATTACACTGCAGGCTATACATCTGCCATTATCTAGAGTGAACAAATGCTTAGCAATATGCTGCAATGTTTATAGACTCCCTCCATCAGCCAAAAAAAAAAAAAATCATCTACTTAGAGCCCTATGGAATGTATATTCAAAGAACAAATAAAATAAATTTTAGAAAACATCATCTACTCACCCCAACTGCTTCAGGTCTGTTTGAGTATTTAGACTTAAAGCATCTCTTTTATAATTTACGTTTTGATTTAATGCAACTCATCACATTCAGTGAGCACATTGCTGAAGTTTAAAGCCATCTGGAGCACAGTTCCTACTTGCATTATTACAGTAGTTCCTACTTAGTTATGGATAACAACATAAAATATTTTATATTGTAATATTTGCATAAGCAGAATTAGCTTCTAGTCCAACAACCGCATTGCACCCAGTCTTCTGATAACACGTCACTGCAAAAGACTGTCATGTTCCAGAATCTATTAGTTAAAAAACTGATCTATGGCCTTAAGCCATCCATAAACTAATACAAAGACCTACTGAAGCAATATGAAAAAAAAAGGTAGTCTTCTACCTTAAAATCTGAAGCAGTCTGTCCTAAAGCTTTAGAATGCATTTACACATTATGTCCCAATTTAAGAATCTGGCTTGCTGATTGAAAATAGATGTATATCTTATTGTTATCTTTATTATATATTATTATTATCAACTTCTTCCTTCCTGTTGCACAACTAGACAATGTCCACACTCTAAGCAGGTATTTGAAAATGTAGAGATAATTACCCACCAATTCTACAAACTGCGCTGGTTTTGGCTGGGGTAGCATTAACTTAAACCATGCCACAAATTCCTCTTTCAGAAACATGAGACAATTTAAGACAACTCTTCTACAAACCAGAAGTGCATGTGTTGGGATGTTGCTCTCTACAAACTTCAAACTGGAATGGGGATGAGTCACAGCTGTTTAGCACAATCACTACAATACATGGTATAGCACGAAATCTGTACACACAGAATTCAGCTGAAGCTACTTATCCCTAGAGTGCAGACTAAAATAATAATTATTCAACCTTTGATACAGGGTGTAAAAGTGATGCCACATTCAGCACAAGCAGAGACCTCATCTCACCCAGCAAAAGGAGAGGGTCTCTACCACTTCTCTGCCCTTGCACTCCGAAAAGCGTGCTTTTACTGTCCCACTCTCCTAGGCTAAATGCAAGACTGCTATCAAGTCAGTCATTCAAGCTAACATTTAAGCGTTCAATCTGCCCCAATTAAAGCAACCAAACTGAACTAACTCAAAGTTTAATTAGCAGTAAGGAACAAGAAGCACAGCCTGAAATATTGCTTAACTTTAGTACTGTTACAGACAACCAAAGAAACTTTATGCAGACACTCATACTCAGTGAACAGTACAGAAAAATAAGGCTTTGTGGGAGGTAGGAAAACAAAGAATATGGAAAGAAGATCATCTAGGAAGATAGCTTGTACTTCAGTATATTGCCTCTATTAGAAGTTACTCTAGCTTTAATTAAAACATCTAAAGTACTAAGAAATCTTGTGAATAAGTATTTTATTTCACTATCTACACCCAAGGAACATAAAATATTTCAGACACCATTTCTGAGTATTGCTCTAAAATAACAAGTTTTTAGAAGTTCTTTATTACCAGCAAGTAGGTCTGCAGAAGCTGAGGAACTAGAAGCAGCCTGGGTTGTGGGCTGGGGTTCAGAAGCACTACTTCCAAAAGCATCTAAAGGGAATTCCAGAAAGCATCAAGAAAAAGTGAGGAGTTCAATATTAAATACATCAATTCATCGCTTATCGTAAACAAAAGATGACGAAATAACCACTTCATACATCAGAAGAAGAAAATGAAACTGCCTGGCCATCCTTATTGCATAGCAGTACCATGGATGCAAAGTTCAGGTGGAAAAAAAGGATGTACAACAAACCAGCACTTGAAAAAAATCTCTTTTATTTGGGCCTCTTCTCAGATACAAATCACAGCATTCAAGACAACAGAGGTTTGGAGATGAATGCATTAGCTGAAAGACTGGAGTAATTCCAGCCAGAAGCCAGTGGCTCACATGAAATCATTTCAGAGGAATATCTCACTAATGCCTGAAATCCACTGCTTCTAAGCACCATTTCTGTTCTTCAACATGCTTATGGTTGGTTGTGCATCCTAATTTCCACCTTGTCAAATCCTGTGATTCAGATATACCCAGTTTGAGACAAGTCACCCTCAAAACTTCAGCTGCTTTGAGAAACGGAACTGAGAGAAAACAGCATGACCATGGAGATTGGCAAAGAAGAAAAAGGACAGAGGAGAATTTCACTGGACATCTGAGGGAGAGCCACACATGCACTGACTGGGGACAGAATGGCAAATGTCAGGACAACAGAACGACTGACAGCTTATTTGCAGTTCGTTATGGTGCAGTTTTAAGAACCAGACATGCCAGACTCAGCTCTTAAGGCCACACAAAAAAGTTGTGAGAGGGGGAAACCCGCAGCTTTAGCAAAGCGCAAAGGTAATTGAAATGAAGTGATTCAACTCTGAAGTGGTGAGGAAATAAAAAATACCCACCACCAAATAGGTCAATCACACCTGAAGAATCCACCTTTGCTGGAGAGGCAGTGGGTAGAGGAGAGGGGGCTGCAAATGCATCCACTGCAGTAAGCATAGGATAAATAATATTTAGTATCAGCAAGACAAAAATGATAGCTAAATATTTCAAAGCCACATGGGCTCCAACAGATAGAACCACAGGTTTGGTAAATTTGGGTAATAGTCTCCAGAACTGCAAACACAAAGTGTTACATTTCTCACACAGCAACTGAAAACCACAGTACTTTAAAGAAAACATTACTTATTGAGCATTTTCTTATGCTTAGAGGAGGATTTCCTCTCTCAATAGCCACATCACTTACTTACTGAACTTCAGCGTCAGACACCTCATGATTTGCATCTTCAGCAAGTGCACATCTTGTGACCAAAGCAGCAAACCCAAAACTTAATATTTCTTGATATTTCAGTTTAAAGATGTAAACTGGCAGTTAGTTAATTTTTTTTTAACTTTTGGAAAAAAAAATTCAAACCCAGGAAGTCTGTGGAATGGCCTGTGGAAACAAGCACTCACCAGATAAAAGATCACCAGTGAGAGAACTCTCAGGCACAGGAGAAGCTCCAGGTTGTGGAGATGAAAATGTATCTTCCAGAAATAAAAGAAAAAACGAGAAGTAAGTATCACTGAAATCAGTTTACACCATTGCACAGCCTCAAAGCAGCAGAGTATTGGAAGAATTCTCTCTTTTACCTGTACCAAAGAGATCTATGCTAGGAGTAGCATCTGGTTTAGGTGCTGCAGGTGCATCAGGAGCAGACTCAAATAAATCTAAGGCCAAGAACATAACACATCTTTAACTCGTTTTTGAAAGGCAGGACTGAAAAAAGAAGTTTCCAATTTTGCACATCATATTTGAAATTAATAGGCTCTCTGGTCTGAAAGCCTAGCACACAACACGCATGCAACAACGAATTGTTCATTTGGTACTCCTGACAGATCAATCCACCAGAATCAAAGAGTTAAAAACAAAATTACCACCAAATATATCTAGAGCAGGAGGAGCGGAGGTGGTGGCGGTAGCAGAAGTGGTGGCAGTAGTGGTGGTAGTGGCAGTAGCTGTAGTAGCAGTAGCAGCAGCAGCAACAGCAGCAGCTGGAGAAGGAGTTGTTGCAGGAACTGGAGTGGCTGCACTAGTTGTAGGGGTAACTACAGGAACAGCAGTCTCTGTTGGCTTCATAGCAAAGAGGTCCAGCTCAGGAGCAGCCTCTGCACTACCTTCGGATGGGGCAAAGGGGTCTTGTAAAAAGGAGAGGGGAAATATATGTGTATGCATACTTAGGATCAGTGAGGGAGGAAGTCAAGAACAAAGCAACTATAGGCAATGCACATACTGCAAATACACTCACGCACACAGAGGAGGTCGCTCTAACATCTAGCTTACTTATCCAGACATGTTACTTAAGTTTTTCTACAACAAAGGCTGTCTGAAAGGCTGAGTAGTCTAGTTACTAGAGGGCAAAACTTTCAAAGGCTCTTTGACGAGGCCAAAGAACCAAATATGACAAAGGACTATCCAGGCTACTGCTTACAACTCAGCACTGATAGAACTGTTCATTAGCACTACCAAATAAACACAAAGTCACTGGGACTCGGAAACAGGCAGTTTCATTAGGCATGCTCTTCAGTTTAAGGTTTGTTTTTACCAATTCCAAACGCTATGAAATTTTCAGAAAAAACACACTGCCATGTAGTTTAAACAACAAAAAAACCCAAACAAAAACCAGCAAAACAAGAGACTATCTAATGACATAAAACCCACCATTTCCTGAACATGCATCAAGAGCTGCTGCTACGGGGGTTGGGGTAGCTGGTGCTGCTGCCCCTTCAGCTGCTGCAGGGGCTTCCCCAGGAGAAGCTGCAAAGGCATCTTGGGTGCAGTTTAGGAACGGAAATTAAAAAAAAAAGAATAAAGAGAAGAAAAATATAGGAAAAGAACCAAGTTAAATTGCATAGGTAGATCCCCTTATACAACATGAATGTAATTACTCCAACAGCAAGACAACTCATGCAGCGCAAAACGCTTTGTCTCTCCCCCAACCCCACACAAGCAGGTTCTAGAAAGGGTTTGCAGATGGAGCTTCTAGGGTTGCTCACAATAAGCACAGTGAGTGTAAAAGAAGGCATTATTCTCATTGTATAAGGGTTCAGAGCAGCATGCTCATGTACTACCCAAAATCAAGTAATTAACAAAATTAACTTAAGAGCAGATATTACCAACTTGCATGCTCAAAGCCTGTATTACATGTGATCAATCTGCAACTGTGAGTTTACTTGCATAGTGCTTTTCACTGCTATGAATAACAATCCAATTACTCTGGTAGATATCTGCATCTACCATTTCTAGTCTTTGAGCCAAGTCAGTCATGCAACATCTGAAAAATTGAACTTACTTGTTTCTTAACAGTATTCCAACTGGATCTTTCTGAAGCCATAACCTGATGCGTAGGTTATATTTACTCAGCTTGCTTCAAACAGATCAAGATTGTTCATTTTAAGCGATGGTTGGTGAGCCATAACCTGTCTGTCCTTTTAGGATCACTTCTAGGCCAACCAGCCAAGTTAGGGAAAGCAACTAGTTTGGGTTTTTGGAATGACTTGCTCATCAGGTTTTTTTTGAATTTTTTTTTTTTTTGTTTGCCACTTGCTCTTTGTCCGTTTTTTTCTTTTTGTTTGCCAGTTCCTAAGTGGCATGCTTAAATTTCAAGCTATGAACAGCGTTATTTCTAGGCTTAAACCAGCATTTGGACTCTTAATTCTATGAAGTAGTCCTAATGGACAGTGCCATTTGGACTATCCTCATAGGCAAGCATTTTCTTCACAAAAAAAAAAACGACTGCACAATGAGGACTAAATACTTCAAGATGCTTGTAAAGGACATTTTTCTAATGCTACAAAAATTAGCAAGTTTAAAAAAATCTGTTGGGGAACACTGCAATTGCACTGTCAAATTAGCACAGGAAAAAGCTTGACATGCTTTAACTTGAATGTCAATTTTAAAATGAAAACAACCATTTTAAAAACAAATTCGTGCCAGGTAATCTAAAAAGCTCTAAAGAACATGCATCAAAACTTCAACAGAAGAGAAGAAAGCCCACTAATCTCGTACAATAGAATTAAAATGAGTTAGTAGCAAAAAAGACCTGCTAATAAGCCATTTCAAATATAATTCTATTTTTCAAGTAACAGGGTTGTTCAACAACAAAACTGGATGGCAGTTGTCCAAGTAAAAACATCAGAATGAGTCAAACATCCCAGTGTTGTGTGTGTACCAGACACTGGCGTGCACCATGTAGAAGGAATTCAGCACAGAACTGAACTGAAGAGTTTTGCATCACCCTGCTTGAGAAGATGTTTTGTGTAACATCATGTGTGCTCAGTTTAGCACTACAGAGACAGCTTTCAGATGGAGGGGCACCCTGGGCTCTTTCAAAAAAACATAATTGTGCCCACACAATCTTGTAGGCCAACAGCACAGGCACTGGTCAACCCTACCTACAATTATTTTTTACTGACACTTCTGAGTAAGGTTCTTGCCAAGCACTAACTTTTTTTAGCATCAGACTTGGGTTAAATGGCAAGTGGAATAAACACCTAAGTTCATACAGGAATCTAAATGAAAAATGTCATAGTAAGAACTCCTAATATTAATTACTCTGATTAGTTCAAGAAACCTATAAGAACATAGAGACAAACCAACCTGAACAGGTGACCCTATAACTCACAGCTTAAACCAAGGGTTTGCCATTGGGTTTTACTTAAGTTAGTGCTGATTAAGTTCTTTCCAAAAGTCTCTGCTGCTCCTGCACAGTTGCCCTATGCTAAAATCTAGCATAACATGCAAAAATTGATACAATTAAATCTGCATATTTTATTATTAAAGAAAAGGACAGTTTATTTTCTTTTTTGTTCCTTCATATTGGTGTAGTAAAGCTATATTTGCACATTCAGCAGTGTAAGAGATTCTCTCCCTTTAAAGTAGCTACTGAATTCTTTATGTTCTTGCATTTTCTGTTTAAAAAGTGAATTTAGCTTTTGACTTCTAGAATCAAGTAACATATGGTCCTCACTTGATTTTCTTGACATCCTGAAAACTTAGAGATGTTGCTGAAACCTTTGCAAGTTCACACTGCATGGAACATCTACCAGGAGTGACAGGTATGTATTATGTACTGCATTACACCTGAATTCATTAAATCTAGTTCTTACTGAAATAATGTGCAAACAAGGGGTTTTCAAAGTTGTTAAACACTGAAGTGCTTCAATACATCTTGTCTGCAGCAAAATAAGTGTTCCTGCAGAGTGATCTCTTTAATCTCCTAAATTTGGGCTTTATTTGATGCCATGGCATCAATACATGACAAACTTACTCACACAGATGATACAACTGACTTATAATCATTAATGCATTATGAAATATGTGAAACAATCCCATGGAAGTCATGAGTAGGGGAAAGATCATAGAACTGAAGTGTACACAAGAAACTGTTTCCAGAGATTTTTCCCTCTTCAGTCACCCTTCATTACTTTTTGACATAGAAAACCTGACCCAAGTTATAATGAAATATTTCACTATGCCCAAAGCTAGGAAATAATAATTATGCAAAGTGTTTGTTGTTTGTTTGGTATTTATCAGTGAAGTGGTAGCTTGCTATACCAGCCTGTACCAGCATAAGGGACATTCATCAACCCTTAACTGCCAAGAGTCTTCATCACTTTGCCTGTAGTTTCTTTACAGGAAGGCCATAGTTCTGCCCTCTTACAACTCAAGTTATCTTAATGCCTAATAACTAACATTTGCACAGTGCCTGCCATGACTTGTTACTTGCACTGACTACTGAGTAATCCCACAACAAAATGTAACTCAAGAGCACATTACACATGTCCAAAAATACTGTGCCCAAATTCTGTTTCTGGGTGACATATCAAGTTATTTTGCCTTTATTCTTCCTTTGCATTTCTCTTTCACAGGAATGATTCCAGCTGCACTTTGAAAACAGCCTCCTCTTGTTTATCTTTGAAACACAATTAGGAGCTCCTCAAGTTGGCCCAGGTATCTGAAAGTTTGCCTATTAATCAGACAGAGTTCTTCAAAAAAGCTGTGCTGAATCAATTCTGCATTTCTCATCTGCTTTCCAATACCATATCAGCAATGAACACATAATTCAGAGCTTATCTCTCAAAGCCCAGTCTTAGGCAGCAGGCAGGCTTCCCATCAGCTGAAATATCAGCCATAGAGTGTAGTCAACAGTTATTCCAGAGCCTCCTCTACTGCTTCTTCCTTCAGCTTGGCTACCTTTTCCCTGCAGCTTTCAGCCTCTTTCCTACACAGACACTCCCTCAAGAAGCTTTACATTCTTTCTCCTGAGATCACTGCTCCCACCTTCTCCCACCATTACTGACCACAAGAAATTGTGTGAAACAACAAAGCACTGGCAAACTGAAAGAAGTTAATGTGCCCTTGAAGACTGTATCTCCAGCAGACCTCAAAGGTGAAATACCTACTTAATAGGATTAAGTGTAAGCATGTCTAGCACCACAAAAACTAGAGAGCAGCAGTGTCTGCACAAAAACAGTCTTAAGGCAACAAGGAATGTTAGTATATGATGCTAGAATATACTTGCAGCACAGCCTTCAGGAGAAAAAAACACAAAGAATCAAAAAAACTCAAACCATGAGCAGAGATGGAAGTTCAACATAGACTCATGGATCTTAAAAGGGTCTGTCCAAAGTGTCTTGAAGGCACTGCAAAAGTATCTTTACTGCTTGGT